ACTGTTAAATCAACGGTTTGTTTGACGTTATTATTTTTAGATGTAGACCTAGATATGTCTTTATATAGCGGAGGTTCCGATGCCTGAGGGCATGGAGAAGAAAGATTAATAAGTTCCAAGGACTGGGATGGATAATTTTTCTGACTAGATTCAGTGACTATCTTTTTAAGTGGACTAATAACACGCCTACCTTTATTTTCTCGGTTATCCTCAGAGTGTGGAGGGTTGCCGAGACATGTGAAAGACCGACAGATCCTTCCCGATCTCAGAAAAACGATTTCTGGACTAAAGAGTTAAAAAAAATCAACTTCGGTTGATCTTCATTTTTGACAAGACAAGATGGGCAATCCCATCGCAGAGCCAGCATGACACATAGGAATCGCTTTTAACATGACAATTGGTGTAAATACACGACATGTTTAAAATGTTATTTATTTATAGGTTTTAGAAGCAAAAAAGCAGAACAGTTTTGAAAACGATGTATCAATCAGAGAACCAGTCAGCTGGAAAATATCGGTTTGGAAGCTATGTAGCGAACTATTTTAAATACACTGTATGTTTGACACCTAATAAACACAACGCAAACAGCTGTGACAAAGATGAAACAGCAGAAATGACAAAAAGACGAAAAAAGCAAAACAACAACAATATATTATATGAAACAAAACACTCGGCACATGCAATTAAGAATATCAAGTTAAATTCATCAAATTTACAGGAAATTTTGATATTTTGCTTATCTTTAAATTTTGCACCAGACGTTTAATCACACTTTTTATAATTTTTTATTTTATTAAGCGTAAACAGGTTTATAAAACACAAAATTTAAACAGAGCACAAAAAAGCACAGCTTCACAGCTTTGATGCTTGCGTTTTTGCGTTGTGACGCGAACTCACAAAACACTATATGGGGTAGCACGAAATGCAACTTTCGTGGGAACAAGCTATTAGACTACATTCTGTCCTCTGAATTGGTAATACAGAATGTGGGTAACAAACCTACTTTTGTCACCAGCAGACGACAAGACGTCATAGATCTAACCTTAACCAATGTAGTTATGGCGGATCATATCAAACGATGGTTGGTGTTAGATGACGAATCTCTATCAGATCATCGATTCATCGAATTTCGGCTAGGAACTGACACTTGTCAAGTGCCAAAAGGTCGGAATCCTCGAAAGACGGACTGGGAAAAGTTTGGGTTGCTTCTTGAAACGATAATACCAAATCTCCTTAAACTCAAAAATATTAAATCAATTGAAGAGGCGACCCGCGAGGTAACGAGTACTTTGATTGGTTGTTTTGAGGAAGGATGTCCGCTAAGAAGAAGCAGGCAGGAAAAGCGGTCCCATGGTGGAACGCTGAACTCTCCAAACTTCGAAAAAGGTCTAGGACACTTCTGAATAGGGCTTTAAAAACTCGAAAAGGGGAGGACTGGTCCAAATATCATATCGTGCAGAAGGAATATAAGAAGCAAATTTGCAAGTCAAAATTAAGCTCTTATAAAGACTTCTGCAGTGATATCGATAACATGAAAGAGTCTGCCAGGCTGTGTAAGGTACTTCAACAGGACCTGATGGTTAGCCTTGATTCTCTTGGAAAATCTGATGGAACTTATACCACGGCGCTGAGACATAAAAAACTCACCTGGAAACTTACTTTCCGGGTAGCAGGATAATTCCTGACGCAGGAAAGGATGACTATGCGCTGGCAAAAAGTTTCAGGTCAATTTGTCTGACATCCTTCATGCTGAAAAGTCTGGAGCGCTTTTGGATGGTTTTGGTGACCATGGTCAAAACCACGGCTTCTGTGCTAAACAGGCTACAAAGGAGTGTGTGTATAGGCATTACGGGCGCCATGAGTATAACGTCAGGAACGGCTCTTCATGCTTTGTTGATTTTGTCGCCTCAGGATTTAGCGATCCAAGAGGAGGCAATGAAAACGATGCGTCGATTGCACTCTCTTGGTCTGTAGCACGACGATCGGGGTTCTGGGCACATAGAGTTGTTCAGAAGGTTGTCAGAGCAATATCCTTTGTTTTTAGCACCAAATGACAAACTGATACCTATACTCTCCTTTGGTAGAAAGTACGTCAATGGATTTCCTACAAGTGAACAATGCAGAGATCCAGACATTCTCTTGGGAAGCTCGGTGAAAACTTTCTCTACTGACGGCTCAAAGACTGAAAACGGTACTGGAGCTGGATGGCATATGGACGGAAGCTTCAGATGCTTTACCGCTTTGGGTGCAATGACAACGGTCTTTCAATCGGAAGTCTTTGCAATACTGAAAGTAGCAGACTAGATAACTGGCTAAAGGTGGCGCGGACATAAAATCAGGACCTACAGTGACAGCCAGGCTGCTCAAAAGACCCTGGAATCCGCTCGAACCTCTTCAAAGTTAGTCCAGAAATATAAGTTGAGACTGAACTCCGTTACAAGATGGAATGAGCTTGAACTTGTATGCCAGGATACTACGGTGTTCAAGGTAATGGACTGGCTGATGAATTGGCAAACTGCGGTTCTCTGGAGTGCCCAATTGGACCGGAGCCAATTGTAGGGCCAAGCATAGCGGGAACGATCCGGTGCATCAAGGATCTCATAAGCAAAAGTCATGAGAGCCGCTGGTGCACTATAGATACCTGCAAAATAACAAAGTGTTTCTTGAAAAGGCCTGACGGGGTGGTACCTAAATTTCTTCTCAGACAAAGAAGGAGTGATCTACGAGCCCTGGTAGGACTGATTACTGGGCACAATCCATGGAACGACATATGGTCATCATAGGCATCATCAACGATCCACTGTGTACTTCGTGTTTGGAGGACGAGGATTGTACAGAACATTTTCTCTGCCACTGTCCGGCCTTCGCCAGACTCAGATGGTACATTTTTGGGTCGGATGTACTGAGAATGGACGACGTACATTCTCTTTCCCTCAACAAATTGCTAAAATTCATAAAGGAGTCTGGTAAGTTTGCAGAGGAGTAATGAGTTCCCACCCCCACCTACATATCCCTTTCCTCTAAATCCTGTTTCTTAACCTTAAGTACAATGGGCAATACTGCTTCAGTGCTTGGAAAAATTTGTTTTTGATTTTTCCGGCCACCCACAATTCCATTCCATTCCATCAGTGCAAAGTTGAAAATGGACGTGAATCAAGATTTTTTGAAAGAGTTTTTAGATTGCTATGAGATGCAACCTTTTCTCCGGGATATAACTGACCAAAGTATGTGATACGTGACAGAAAAATAAGATCATATTGTCCTCTTTCAGATTGGCTGGCTGGACCGTGGACCAAAGAAACCGACAACAAAGAATGACTAGTATAACTATGAAATGCAGTTTTTAAGAATGACTGGGCATACATCCTATATTTGTTTTATGAAAATATATAGTATTTTCTAATGTTTAATTGAGAAAACATTTCTAGGGGATTTTTAATCTTACGTAAGATCTGCCGCCGGGGGAGGGGGATCAATTAAATCTTACAATTTATTACGCGAGGGGAGGGGGGATTCAAAGCAGGCGAAAACTCTTACGTAATATATGGACAGCCCCTATGCACTATTTCGGTTTTTGTCATATGCATTATTTCGGTTTTAAGTCGAAACTGTGAATGTATGTATGCATTACTTCGATTTTTATCATATGCATTATTTCGGATTTGAATCGAAACTGCGCATGTATGCATTACTTCGTTTTTCTTATATGCATTACTTCGTTTTTTCGTCGAAACTGTGCAAATGCATAATTTGGGTTTTCCAATATGCATTATTGCGGTTTTCAACCGAAGCTGTGCATATGCATTGTTTCGGTTTTTTTCATATGCATTATTTCGTATGCACAATTTCAGGGTGCCCTCTTATTTCTTACCTTATTAATCTGAAAAATTTAGGTCCGCACAGTGGTCTTGAAACAATGATAGGTATGACTAAAATGCCAACCAAAACTGCTTGCATACCTGTTTTGGAAGGCACCCATACACCAATATGCAGTTGGAATTAAAATCATATCTGCTCCTATGCCTAAAATATTGTCAAATGAAAATTTGGAAAAAATTTAACTGCAATTGTTAGTATTTCTTGTTCAACAGAGTATTCTAAAGTTATCGTTTTGTATATTAGTGTAAAAGAAAAACAGATAGTATTTTTCTCGATGATAATATTTCTGGTGTAAGCTATTTGATTGCACATCATGTCTTCTATAAGTCATCCGCAACATAAGTGTAATCACGAAGAGAACAGATTTAAAGTGTGCGCGCCTTGTGGGAGAAAGATTAAATTCGGATCGTCAAAACCTTCAGAATTTAATATAACCGGAAAATTGGTGTGTCTTATTAAAAAATACGTTAGTGAAAATTTTAGATTGACCAATTCGAAGTTCCCATTAGGCATTTGTGGTACATGTCGTAGGGTTCTCGGTGACCGAGATATGGATATACCAAATGCAACGCGGCCTCTTCCAAACATGCCTAACTATGAAGATTCGACAAAAGAAACAAGAACAAGTTCATGCTCTTGTTATATCTGGCTCACTGCTCGGGCAACCAGCCATCCAAAAGTTATACAAGGGAGAGCACATACCTTAAATGTATTGAGTGAAAAAAACTCCACCAATGGGTTGACTGCTTTGTCAGTTGGGTCAGAATTCAAAAATCATGTAAGTAAACTCGCTAAAGCCTTCCGAAGCACAGAAATGTCGGAAACATTAAAAATTCACGTGCTTCTAAATCATTTGGAACATTGTCTGCATTTTTTAGGCAACGACGGCTTCGGAATGTGGTCGGAGCAAGCTGGAGAATCCATTCATGGCGTATTTTTAAGATTTTGGCTCAATTATAAAGTTAATTCGATTGACGACCCTAAATATATAATCAATTAAAAAAAAAAACTGTCGTTGAATTTTCATCAAAACACATATGAATTTATATAAAATAATATTTTATATTGACTTTGTAAATTTATAAAATTTATGCAATAAGAATTATTAAAATATGCAATTATGTAATATTATCTCTTGAATAACTAAGTTAAAATATTTTATGCTTATAACGTAAGAAAGTGTTATAATTATATTACCATAGACCTTCGCGATTATATAACTAGATTTGGAAAGTTCTAGATCAACATTTTATAATATTTTAAGCATAGGAGCAGATGGAATTTTATTTTCAACGAAATTTTGATCTATGATTATGTACAAAGACAGTTATGTAAGCCGTTTTGGTTGGCATTTTAGTCATAGCTATGGTTGCTTCAAGACCACTGTGTCCGGGTAATTTTTGGAATAAATTTTCCTTTACGAGGGAAGAGTTTGTAGTTTTCAGATGTTTATTGCTACACTTATCTGTCGCGATCTTTACTATGACACAAAAAGGGATGCTTCCCTGATACATTACTTTGATGAAAATAGTATCTAACATTAACGAGGGCTGACTAACTTAACTTACTTCAAAGTTTCCAATTTAAATCATAAATTTTTTCTATACATATATATTTTTTTGTTATGTTTCGAGTGATTTTTTTTTATCCTTTGATTTACTTTTTAAAATGTGGCGTTCACTTTGGCGGGATGGATGTGTCATATCATAACGGAAAACTATGCAACGCCGATCGAGAAATGCCTTCATGTCCTGCAAAAAAATAATTTCTCATAATATTATAAGAACGATAAAATATTCAGAATAATTGCGACTGTCGTGTCGAGTGCAAGTCGTTTTTCGAGAGTCGAATCGTATGAAAATTGCATAGCATTCCCTACTTTTTCCACCCGAATAGTATATTAAAACGGAAAAACTTGGCAGCATTGGATAGTTTTCGACGATTTTCGTCGTTCCTTATTTCAGCACGAGAGTAGACAAAGCTAATGCTGTCGATTCATACAATTTCTTCTAATTCACTACTTGCACAAAGAAGTTGATTATTTGAAGTCTCTAACCTTTGGTTCGAAACGATATCCAATTTGCTTGAAAAATACATAAATATTATGCAAATCAATAGGCTTATACCTCAAAATCATTTCATGCAAAATTGTGCTAGAGATAACAAGATTATACCAAGCGATATGTAGCGGCAAAAGTGGACGGGGTGTCTGTAATAAAGAAAGTTATATATTAATGTACTTGCTATTTATATTACGGAATATTACATTCTTACAGACTAACGCCCAGATTCATAAAAAATAAAGTAGACTTTAATTGATTTATAAATAGAAAATTTGTATGGAAATGTCACATTATAAAGCTCTTTAAATCTATTTTATTTTTTATGAATAAGGCCATAAGTTTACAAATAAGATATAAAATTATATAAGGCCATGAGGGCCAGAGGAGCCTACCTACAAAAAAAACTTTAATATGAGAAAGAAGGATGTATAAAAAAGAAAGGCGGTATTTTACTAAAAACTTCATTGCGCCTACGTGATGCTACATATTATAGTAAAAGAAAACTAAAAGGGCGTGCTTCGGACTATTACCGTTTCGATTCCAGTAAAGCATTTTAAGGTGCCCTCAACTTTTTTTAAATGTCACTTAGGCTACTGTGGCGCTTATGACCTCATATTTAAATAGAGTTTTAAATGATTTTATGTATTTCTCGCGAAAATCTCTATGCAATGAAATATCTAAAAAGTAATGTATTGTTAACAAATTATTAAATTCTGAAAGTGATCTAGTGATAGGTTCATTTAAAGCAGTGATTCCAAAAGTGGTCCAGGTGGACCACCAGGGGTCCACGGGAGACTCGAGGGGGGTCTACGTTGGTGCGAAAAAAATATGGGAGTCCACGAGATGTAAGTGGGGGTCCACGAAAATATATCTGGTTTCGATAGTAAAGAGCCAAAATGGTTGCCTGAAAGTCTCTTGCCGCACGGCTGCACTAAAAAGAAACGGATGTTGGTATAAAAGTGTGTGGGGAGAGGCGGAAATTGTTGGCGGCAGAGATTTCCTCACTTGTGTATTCTCAATGCTACTGGATAGTACGTCACCATTATCTTTGTTGAAGAGATTCTATAATGTTGAGTTCCCTGAGGCTAAATGCTGGCTTAATTCCAGCAGTGAGTCCGGACTCACACATTGTCGAATCTTCACTGATGGCTCCAAAACGGATTCTGGGTCAGGATCTGGGGTATTTTTCGTTAATGGAGATAAGATTCACTTTTCCCTTGGGGAATATGCTTCGGTCTTCCAGGCTGATGTAATTGGAATCCTCAAAGCCAAGGACTACGTGATGGAAAATAGGTGGAGAGGAAGGAGTTTACGTGTCTGCAGTAACAGCCAAGCTGCACTTAAGACATTGGCCAGCCCTCTATCTAAATACTTCCAAACTAGTAGTTCGGCAATGCAAGTATCGACTAAATTATGTTGATAAATATAACGACCTTGCTCACTCTGGAGTACCTGTTAATGAGACATCTGACCATTTGGCCACAGTTGCACTTCCCATTTTGGCCATCGAAACCCCCATCATAAACTGGGTGAAGACTTCGCTCAGCAATGACTATGAGGAATCGAGGGGATGCAGGTGGGCAAAACTCATGTTGCCTTCTACCTCAGAAGTTCTATCAGTTGTTTGCTCTCACTGAGCAGACGGCTCTGCAGACAACTTGTTGGACTGCTGACTGGTCACTTCACGTAGCTTGCTTATTTGGTCGCTTGTCATCGATTTTTCATTTATCAGTTTCTGAATTAAAATTAAGGCGTCAAAAGATTATCGGTTTTGTTGTTTAAAGGCGTGTGTTTTAAAAATGTGAGTGACAAACATTTTTCGCGTCCCTATAAAACTCGGAGTGATAAAACTAAAAATGATGCCTTCAACACAAATAAACTATTTTACAAATACGCCACATGCAAATTCATGAGTGAGCTGATTATGTAAGAAGTTTATGGTACAGGAAATGTAAATAACGCTAGCTCTCTGAGTGCTCTTAAAAAATATAACTACTCTGATCGAGAGAGTACTTTTATGGCTTTATGAGCCCTGTTTTTTAAAACTTGCAAGTGTGTAATTCAGCGGTGGCCAAAGCCTATGCACGCGTGCATAAGCTTTTTCGAGCTCTCTCACCGATAGTAAAAAGCTTTCGTGCACAGCAAGAAAAAATATTTATTTGCGTTGCTTGCCAGTCGAAGTTTAGCAGCTGAGACAGCAGGTTGCGTGCTGCTGGAGCTGTCGCTGAACGGTTGTGTGATGTATGCGTGCAGGGGTTGTTTTTTGTTTAGTTTAAGCAAAGCAAACTGTGAGACCCGCACTAAAATAGCCCAACTTCGCTCTGGCTATTACAGCAGGCTAAACTCTTAAGCAGAATCAACGAGGATGTGCCCAACCAATGCCCGGCATGTGGAGAGTCGCCACATGACTCACGGCACCTCTTCACATGCCCTGAGAACCCCACTCAGCTAACGCCCCTGTCCCTATGGACAGCCCCAGTGGAAGTCGCACACTTCCTGGGCCTCCCCCTAGCTGAAATTGACGACAACGTTGATGGATGAACCTCCCAAAAGGTAGTAAGGGAGTACATATAGAAAAACATCCCACATTCCTCCCGAACGAGCAATAAGGGAGTGCTCCCATAAGAGGCATCCCGAAAGCCTCCTGTACCAGTATTAAAAGAATATTTCATTGCCCCACATATTGGGGCGTATTCTTGTTTTCGTATGAATTGAAACTCATGAAATTTTCCTATCATTTTGTATTCCAAAATTTAAAATTTTCGATTCGTACGAAAACCAGAATACGTCTCATTAGCTAAAAGATTTTTCTATTTACGCAATCCATTTATTTAATTTTTTAATCACATGCATGTATACAATATGAAAAGATCTTAACATATGCTTATAAGTACGAAATCAAACATGAATAATACTTATTACTATATAATAGTCAGAAAAAGTCCGAAGTAGTCAGATTTAGTCAGATTTAGTCCAAAAAGCGTTCCTTAACTCGAAAATGACAGCAAAAATGAGAGAGCAACACTCAGTGAGAGTGACTCTCTTCAGTCCGAAGTAGTCAGATTTAGTCAGAAGAATTTTTTCTGGCAAAATCCTGAAAAGTGTCAAACTCAACTGAATTTAAATTTAACGGAAATTAAAGAATACGCAAAAAGTGCGAATAATCTAAAAAGTAAAAAAAGTGAATTGAAATCGGAAGGAGGCAAAAAATAATTGATATAGTTATTTGACGTTAGTTTTGTTGTTGGCATTCTTTGGACTAAAAATTTGGTTTTTTGCGTTCCTTTACTTTTCCTGTTATTCTCTTTTAGTGAGCGCATTTTGCCTACGCTCTGGCATTTTGACACTTTTCAGATTTTAGTCCAAAAAGATAAGGAATGAACGTATTATTGATTAATATTGGAATTCTAGTGGGGACAAATGCAAAGTAAAACAAAATAAAAATAAAAGTAGAACAGAATAATAATAAAACGAAAAGATAACTACATGATTTACTGCGTGTCAGGGATGCTTTGGTGTTCAAAAGTTCACGCAATTAGGGAGAGTGTATAAAACTTTCTTATTTTAACCACGATCAATATGAAGGTTACTTTGCCGATCTGGTATCTATGTCACCCAATAAAAGCTCTGGACCGACATTACATAAACGTTAAAACTAGGGGGCCATACGTAAGTGCTGATACTAACTCGCCCAATCTGAAAAATATTTAGCGTTATATAATACAATATTTAATAAATTTAAACAACAGTTGCAATACATACCGACGGAACTTCACTTAAATGTGTGCTATCGACATTTAATTATTGGACCCTCTCTATATTGTTTCTATATGAAATATTTTCTGTAGTTTTCCTTATGATAAATTTTTCCAATAATACACAATTTCTTTTGAACGAGGTGCCTATAGCTCTCCTATCAATCAAAAGGAATACTCCTGGCTTACTCTCTTAGGAGACATCGCTTTTTGCTCCTAAGCGAGTAATAACGGAGTACAAAACCGACAAATTTCAGTTATCGCTCCTTAATCATGCCTCAAGGAGCATTCTTTTGTTGCTCTCTTGGGAGATCTCCCGTTTGGCTCCTAAACGAGTAATAAAGGAGTACAAAATCAAAATAATATCTTTTATTGCTCCAAAATCATGGTTCTGGGAGTATTATTTTGTTGCTCACTTAGGAGATCTTCGATTTGACTCATAAGCGAGTTATAAAGGAGGTCAGAATCAACAAATCTCCCTAATTGCTCCGAAATCAGGCCAAAAGGAGTACTCTTTTATTTATTAGTGGGTTTGAAAACCAGCAAGTGCACCCGACAATCTTTGTTGACGGTTTTCCTCACTCCGGCTTGTGGAAATCGTCAGATTCTATACTTCCCGTTATCCTTCAGCTGTTTACTTCGTAATAAAAAAAAATGGACCGCGCTCGGGAATGTCCATGTAACTTTTATTTTGCAAGTTTGCTATCCTCCCAATCCCTTGCGTCACGATCAAATCGTCAGATTATTGAAATGCACACTTTTCAGCATGTAATCAACCCACCATTTCGTAATCTGACGCGCTCGAGTAAATCCACCTATCAATTTTTTTTTACTATTCTGATCAGCTCTACTATGCGCGCGGCTCTACATAGATGGCTTAGATTTGGCAGAGGTACTCAACAGGAGGCAGGGTATGCCTCATATGTTAATCTGACGCGCTCGAGTAAATACCCGAATCCCCTCTTGGGCTCCCCTACTATATAAGATCGTAGAAATTAAAATACCATTTTTGAATTTTAACATTTATTGTGAAGAAAACAATGGGACTACTAGGCCTTACATACCAAATAGCTTACGGAGAGAAGTATTTGACAAATTGCATAGTATAAGTCATCCAGGTATCAGAGCTTGTTGTTGTTGTAGCAGCAGTACTCGACCCTCCGGGGTTTCGTCAAGGGTCATCATCGTCCTCTGACTCGACAAGCCTGAAAGCGGGCGGCGTCTATAGGCGCGGTCCATAGTGCTTCTGGTGTCAGGGTCGTGGGGTTAGAGGCGCATGCGAAGAGGTGTTGGGTGTTGTGTGGACCTTGCCCGCATGCAGGGCATGTGTCTGCCACTTCTGGGTTCAGCCGGGAGAGATAGCTGTTTAGTCTGTGGCACCACTCAGAACGGAGTTGTGCTAGGGTGCACCACGTCTCTCTGGCAGTTCGGCTTCGTCGATGTTGATGGGTGGCGGTCGACCATCTAGAACGATGTTGTCTTTTCAGGTGCTAAGACCCGACCTAACTGCATCCGTGTGTAGGTGGTTAAGCGCCGCTCTGTATTTCTCTGCGTCGAATGGGTGGTCTACGAACGGCTCAACGTCGGATTTCCAGTCGTGCAGGTGACGTCTGACATGTCGGGGAGACGGTTCATTTCGAAGCAGGGCGTTATTGGGGTGATTTCCACGGTGACATCCCACGAGGAACTGCTTCGATAGCAACGTGTTGTGCTCTTTCAACGCTAGCATCTGGCTTTCTTGGTGGAGGTGATGCTCGGACGACATGAGATGGCAGCCTGTAGCCGTGCGTAGAGCTGCATTCTGGCATTTTTGTAGGTTTCTCCACTGTGTATCGCTGGTACCCGCCGTCCACACTGGCGGTGCGTAGTTTGCCACCGACCGGCCGATTGCTTTGTACGTAGTGAGTAGAGTTTCTTTGTCGGCTCCGCAAGTGCTGCCGGCTAGTGACTGGAGGACTTTGTTCCTAGCTCGCATATTTTCGCAAGTGGCTGAGGCGTGCGCAGAAAAGGAGAATAGGCTGTCGAACGTAACTCCCAAGATTTTGGGGTGGTTGACCGTAGGTATTTTGTTGCCATCGACGTAAACGTCCATCTCTAGCCTAACTTCCTTTGTCCAGGTGGTGAACAGGGTGGCGGTGGATTTCGCGGCGGAGATGGTGAGGCAGTGAAGAAATTTGCAAGATCGGTGAGATAGTCGCAGATTTTCCCGCACAGGCTGTCAATATTGGGGCCCGTCGCCATACTCGTGCAATCATCGGCGTAGCTCACCAAGTGAACTCCTGTTGGCGGCGGAGGGAGGTTGAACAGTGTTGGGGAGAGTACGCCGCCTTGGGGGACCCCCTGTTTAATCCTACGCGGATTGGACTTGGCGTTTCGGAATTCGACCGATGATTGGCGTCCACACAGATAGCTGGTTATCCACCGCTTCGTCCGGTCCGGAAGTGACGAGTCCAGGACGTCTTGGCAAAGGGTCGCGTGGTTTACCGCGTCGAAGGCCTTCGACAGGTCCACCTCGACTAGGACCGTCCTATCACAGGGTCGACGTTGGTTCAGACCCTCGCTTATCTGTGTGGTGATGGAGTTTAATGCAGTGGTCGTGCTGTGAATTTTGCGGAATCCGTGTTGGTATTGGCCTAGTTGCAGATGCTTCGTTAGACTGGGGAGGAGTAGTGCTTCCATTGTCTTTGCCACTGGAGATAGGAGGGAGATTGGCCGGTAAGAGTCTCCTGCGTCCGCCTTCTTACCTGGCTTAAGGAGGGGAATGATCCTACCCATTTTCCACATCTCAGGGATGATCAGGGTGGACAGGGACAAGTAGAAAGCTGCTTTGATGTACTCGACTCCCACTGATCCTAGCTTTTTCAGCATCTGCATCGAGATTCCGCCAGGGCCTAACGCCTTGGATGCTTTGGCGTTCTTTACAGCTGCCTGCGTCTCTTCTGGTGTAAAGCACGTTAGTGTGTCTCGGGGCGGAGTTTGT